AGCCAAGTACCCCACATCTTGTAATTGTGCATTTGGGGTTTTTTCCCCCCTAGGTGTAGAACTTTGCACTTATCCCTATTACATTTCATTCTGTTGATTTCATGTTTAGCCTGGAAAAGACTTGAGAACTGCTGGAACAGAGAATTGAAGGTCTCTCACAGGAAGGATGGAGATATAAATTTTCCTGCAACTTATGAATCCCATCTGAATCCATTGGGTTTGAATCACATGGAAAGAGATGTTTCTTTATTTATTGAACTTCTAGACCGCCCATCTGACCAGTGATCACTCCAGGCAGTGTGCAACAGTAGAATCAAACTGTTTTTGATTATTTCTTTATTTATTGAACTTCTAGACCGCCCGTCTGACCAGTGGTCACTCCGGGCAGTGTGCAATAGTAGAATCAAAGTGTACGGCACCTGTGATTCTGGATAGACTCTGTCTGCATAAAATTATGGCATAAAATGTACCATAAAGCTAAAATGTTTACTAAACATTAGAGGGACCTTCTTGACCGTAAGAGGCATTGAAACGGAGCGAAAGGTCTTGGAGGCACGTCATAAATGGGGTGAAGAGCGATGTGTCTGGAAGGCTATAGAGGTGGAATGCACTGCATTGTTGAAGGGGTCAGTCTAAATGACCTTCCAGGTCCTTTTTAGCTCTTTGGTTCTAGGATTCTGTGATTCTGTCTTCTCCGTCGCCGCCTGGCATCCTTTGTCCCCCTTTCTCCTCTCCTCCCCTTTGTATAGGTGGTGCCCAGTCTCTTTCCGTGTCCCATCCACCGCACACCCACCCCGAGCCTTTAATCCCTCTGCCGTCATGTTTGGCTCGTCGACAGAAGCCGCTTTGTACTGCTTTAGTGAGATATTGATTTTCTTTTTCTTTTAAAGCCTGTGCCCGGCTCGCTTTAATATATATAAAGAACAAAACTTCCTTTTTATTCTTTTAAGGTGGCTTTGTCGCTAGCTGGAAGGCAGAGGTGAAGCTAGACCTTTGGCTTTGTGCGCCGCCTTCTGAAAAGCGCTCGGAGGCAGGCGAGCAGCCCCTGCTCTCCAGTTTGATCACCCTTCCCTCCCACCCCTTAGCTCCCTTCCTGGCAGATTGCATTTTGCAAATGTACTTGTAAATTAAAGAAAGCAGGGAAATTAACCTGGCTTAACCTACCATTTTAACTGTTCTCCCAAGAGTCCAAAGTACAGCCCCAGCTTTGAATGGAATGGCATTTTATGGAAGCATAGCAAATACAATTTAAATCCTGGGGTTTTACTGCCAGCCAGGGGCGGGGAGAGAGGGAGGAGACTTGTGGGCAGGAGAGTGATGGATTCCTTTTGGAGACTTTGAAGGGACTGGATGTCCAGTGACTTTTGAGACAGAGAGAGAGGAAGAGAGAGAGAGAGAGAGAGGGAGAGATGTACGGAAGCCTAAGCTTTCTTTTTCGTACAGGCGATGTTTTTTCCATCCCATTGATGATGCTGGGGTCCTAAGAGAGCGATGGAGACATGCAGGAGCAAGGGAGAGGAAATATCTAGGACACGGGGCATTCTGATGGATTCCTTCTGGAGCCCACCTCTTTTGCATTTCCTTCTGCCTGAGGAGGGGCAGCTAAAAAAAACAAAACAGAAGGAAAGTGTGCTGCTTATATACCACCCCCACAGTGGTTAAAGCACTTGCTGGGCAGTTTAGAGGTTAATTATGCCAGCTACACATTGCTGGCATAATTAGGGATGTGATGGTGCTGTGGGTTAAACAGCAGGAAGCCTCTGTGCTGCAGGGTCGGAAGACCAGCTGTCGTAAGATCGAATCCACACGTCGCTTGTCCCAGCTCCTGCCAACCTAGCTGTTCGAAAGCATGTAAATGCGAGTAGATAAATTGGTACCACCTCAGTGGGAAGGTCATGGCATTCCGTGTCTAGTCACGCTGGCCACGTGACCACAGAAATGGTCTATGGATAAAATGCTGGCTCCACGGCTTGGAGACAGGGATGAGCACCACGCCCTAGAGTCGGACACGACTGGACTCAATGTCAAGGGGAACCTTACACATTGCCCCCACCCCAGCAACCTGGGTACTCAATTTTCTGAACTCAGAAGGATGGAAGGCTGGGTGAACCTTGAGCTGGTGACCTGGGATTGAACCTGGGTCGTGAGCAGAGTCGTGGCTGCAGGGTTGCAGTTTAATCTCCATGCCGCGAGCTGGAGGTGGTCTAGCCTTGGGGAGGAAGCATCCTGTTTTTCCATGCCGATACCAACAAGCAGGTTTGCACCAGACTCTGCACCCTCCACCCTTTGGCTCAAAACGCCCCGTCACCCTGGAGGCAACATTGGGGGAATCATTTGCTCTCTTATTCTGAACCCACCAAGTATTATCTCTCTAGTTCTGCCACTCATCTTCAGTCCTTCGAACACAGGAGATGCTGTCTTCTCCGGAGCTTGACCGTTGGGCCGCCAGGGCCAGTGTTGGTAGCCACGGCTCTCCGGGGTACCAGGCAGAGGACTGATCCTGCAACCGCTGCTCTCACGCTGAGTTACAACCCAGCCCGACGTTCGCATGTGCTGGTGACCTGATCCCCTGGAGCAATCCTGAGCAAGGATCCAGTAGCTCTTGTCAACAGAGGGGAAAACAATTCCTAAGACGGAGGACAGAGGTTCAGGCCAACATCACATGGACTTATAGGGGGATCTTCAGGATTCCAAAAAGGTGCAATAATTTGCCAGGCTTGTTTGTGGGGAGCTAAAAAAGGTTGCCTTCAGCACTACAGATCAATACCATGCCTTCAAACCAAAAACAGGGAGTCTCCCGCAACCCATCGCTCATCTCCGCAGCCCAAGATGATAGCGGTGTCTTCTATCTAACGAACCCCTGGTGATTTGAGGGGGTTTAGGGTGATAGAAATGGCTTTGGAATCAAAAACAGTTTTGGGGTGGCTGTGTCTCCTTCCTGTTGGCTAAGAGGTTCTGGAAGCTGGGTTCCAGAAAAGCTTCCAATGCTTCCAAATGCAGAAAGTCATAAGTTACAGGTGATGGGTGGCTTTTTGTAACTGGCAGACATTTTTACGTAGGAACCTTTTCTCTGTTGTGACATCATTGTGTAGAAAAAGGAAACTGGGTGATCCTGGAGGGAGGGAAGGAGGAGATTTCTGGTCTTCCAAGAAAATGCTGTTGTCTCAGGGTTGGGTGTCTACAAGAAGATGAGGAAGGAGGAGACATACTAGAAGCTTCTCAAATTAGGCACCCTGTGGAGAAAATGGGAAAAGAGAACGTTTTTTGGCCCTCATAATTAGCAAAATGGGAATAGGTATGGCTTGAACTCATTGAGGTTCACTGATTTCCACCCTGAAACTCAATTTGACTGACGTCTGTCATGGGCTACAGTATTTTTCCATGGGCAGGAGCTTATGCGTATTGCCATGCACAATTTTTTAATTGCACTACCTTTGATTGGCATTTTTCTTCTTCTTCTGCAGACAAGTGTTTGGGTGCGTTTTTGAAAGCCTAGTTTTTTCCGTGTGTGTGTGGTGTTTTTGTGTGTGTGTGTGTGTTCACATTTTTTCCATTGTCATTGAATTGTGCTTGTTGCATTAGAGCCTCATAAAAGGGCAGATTTTTTTATGGCAAATGGGTGCCTTGCCTACATGTTTGGACCCAAAGAACATACCACCAACCGTTTTTACCCTCTCCCATAGGGAGAGAGCTCCAGCGATCGACTTAACGTGGATTTAGGATAGACTGTATAAAATATTTCTTCACACAGCCATGTAATTAAACTCTAGAGCTTTCAGAAATGCATAAAATATGGTGATGGCCTACGATTTAGATGGGTTTTGATGGAGATCAAAGAAGCTAATGAGGGCTAAGACCAGGAATGGCCAGCAGGATACACTGACCTACAGGATCAGAGGCCGGCCCATGTCTTTTGCATGTCACGGCTGTTCCAGGTAGACCATTTGTCCTCCTTAGTGTGCTGGTTTCTAGACAGGTGTCACCCGTAGTTTTATGCCACCCATCTAACAATTGTTGTCCAAACTTGGTACGGTGGCTTTCCGTTTTGTACCTTTTCTTCTTTCTCAAAAGCATGGTTTGTTTTTTGTATTATTTTGTTCCGGGGTGGAGTTTAACGTTAGGACATTGAAGTTCTCCTTAACCTTGAGAAAGAGGGGCACAAACTTTACCAAGTCTAGAAGGTCCCTCACAGGACAGAGGGTGCCGTGGTGCCAACACCCTGCCAAGCAGCTTCCCAGAAGAATCTCCCTCCGCACCTGCAGGAACAGAGCACTGGAATTGGTGGGCGTTGGTCTGAATCTTGCATAGCTCTTCTTGTGATCTTGTACGATCCTGGGAGGCTATGACGTTACTCCCAGCAGATTTTTTTCCAGAATACTCAGGGCCAGGCAGCGACTAGGGGTGACTTAGTTGTGCAGACAGTTTGTGGTGACATGAGGACACGCAGACATGCTTCCTTGAACGTTCTGCAGAACATGAAAGGTCTCCCACCCACCCAAGTGAGGTCAATCTCAATCGTGTTCCCTGAAGACAGAACATTTGAAAAGTACTGAGCGGGAAGGGAAAAAAAATTGTCTATAATTGTCTATGGCACGACATTTGAAAAGTACTGAGCGGGAAGGGAAGGGAGGCACTGAAAAAATAATTGTCTACGGCATGGGTTCCCAACTTGGAGTCCCCAGATGTTCTTGGACTACAACTCCCAGAAGCCTTTATCATGTGCTCAGGAATTCTGAGAGTTCTAGTCCAAGAACATCCGGAGACCTAAGGCTGGGAGCCACCGCTCTATGTGATTTCTGGTTCTTCAATCAAGAGTCACTCCCTTCTTGGTGGTGATCTTGTCTGGCTTTATTGCCCGGCAAATCTGGGTCATTCTTTGAGCGGTGAGCGTCACTGGCAGATGTTTTAGAGAACTAGGTGCTTTTCCGAGATGTGAAGGAATGGACTCTGTCAATGTTAAGGTACTAACGTGTTCCCGGTTGCTTCTTTTTAACAAACAGGGCTCTGGGATTCCCAGCGGGGTCTCCACTCCGCCAATGTCCACTCCTGTCACTGGACACAAACGGATGGTCATTCCGAACCAGCCTCCGCTGACGGCCACCAAGAAATCGGCTTCCAAGCCTTCCTCTCAGCCGTCTCCAGTTCCTGTGACGCCGGTCGGCACCTTGAAACCTCAGCCCGTCCCGGCGTCTTACACCACAGCCTCTACCCCGACCCGGCCAACGTTCAACGTCCAGGTCAAGTCGGCTCAGCCGGCCCCTCACTTCCAACCGCCTGGCGCCCAGTATAGCAGTTTGGCCCCCAACCAAGTGCCTCAGCCTGCGTCTTCCCTGGGGCCGGCATCCTATGCGCCGTCTCAAGTCCGGCCACCAGATTACAGCTACGTACCCCAGCCTCCTCATCACCTGGAGCCGAGTTACACCTATGCACCTCCGCAAGCTCGCTTCCAGGAACCTGCCTATCCGGGAGGCCCAAGCTATGGAGGGCGGAACGGTACTGAGCCATCATCCTATGCCCCACAAAGTAGCTGGAAGCCTGAACCGGCCTTTCCTTCTCCCGTTGCCGGGAACCAGAATTCCGTTGGGCAGTACCCCTCGCCCGGGGCCAAGAAGACCTATATCACCGAACCGGAGCCCATGCCTCAGCCGAAGGTAAGAAGCAAAGTCCAAATCTTGCGGAAGGGTTCGGGGAACGGGCAGAGTGTTGGGGTTTGATCCAGGCTGAGACGTTTCATTCCTAGAAATCTGTGGAGAACCTCTGTTTCCCTTATGGATGTCCTGATCCACTCTCAGACCCCATTAGGGTTGGGCCTAGTTTAGAATGACCCCAATCAAATGCCCTTCCTTCTGGAGGGGGGGCTGTCCCACTAGGTCCCCCCCCAAAGGCCGGACTGCTGAAGTCCATGGCAGAAGTGACCTGGGGGAACACCATGAGTTGGGTCACCTGTTGGGTGCCCACCTGACTTCTTCCTCGCTGGTGCTGCATCTAGGAATTCAAAATGGCAGACACCCCCCAGTGCCAGCTGCCCCAAAGCTGGTGTCAGCCTTATTGGGGTGCTTTTAAGGTACCAAGGCCTGCCACCCTCCTTAAATCCATCTTTTCTAGGGCACGGCTGGGCGTGTTTGCTGGTTTTATTATTTTTAAGATCGCCGCTGGCCAGAGTTTGATGCAAAAGATGTTTTTTTATTATTATTATTTATTGATTTTTAAAAAAAGACCCAAGGGGCTTATTTCCCTTAAAGACAATATTTAACATCTAAAAGCAGTAAGTATATACAAATACTAAAAAGGGTCAGAAAGGGATTTCCTCAGACGCTCAACGGAGCTTTCATGTCGGCGGGGATGGTGTTTTGGACAGAACCAGGCAGTTCATGCCGGAGGGGGCGGCGTGGCTGCGCTTTCTCTCTGGCCTTCCGTTCACAGTTTTGGGGGACACTGGACTGGGTGAGGCAGCGAGGGCCGTGGTTTGACATGTCTGGAGGACACCGAGTTCAGGAGGGCTGAGGTAATGGAGCCACCGTCCGAAGCAGGAGGTTTCCACGTAAAGTAGCTTCTTGGGAGAGCCGAGGGTAATGCCGTTTGGACAAATAGAATACAGCCACAGCCGAGGTCTTCCTAATTGATTTAAGAAGTAGGTAGAGAGAGAACGAAATAGGACGAATGAAACAGGCTGTTTTGATCCTTGGAAACATCTCTTCAGACACGTCCTCTGCCTTTTGGATCGAGGGGAATTTCCATCTTCACCTTCATGTGTCCCCATCCCTTGTGGCTCTCCCATGCAAAGCAGAATTTCCATTCTCCCCGTTGCCTGGCCAAGCTCTGGTCTTGCCTGAGCACCACCGGAGGTGTGTCTCGGACGCGCAAGCCCTAGAAATAACAGCAGGGGCATTTGAAAGGCCAGCAAGTTCCAGGGGGTACACAAATCTTCGGTGGCCCAGTGGAGAGTCCTTGAACTTTGTTCCCTTTCATCTATTCAGCATCCCACGGGGTGACCAACGGCTACACCGAATGTAGCATCCGATAAACCACCTGTTGTGTCTTTGTGGTCCTCTGCCCAAGCATCCTAAGAATCCCATCCTGCCTATCCAGAAATACCCTGATCAGGTCTTGCTAACTCAAGCCTGTGGCTTCCTTGATGGAGTCCATCCCTCTCATGTTCAGTCTTCCTCTTTTCCTGCTGCCTTCTGTCTTTTCCAGTAATATTTGCCTTAGCAAAGTACAGCAGCCTCAGTTTCATCTTTTTTTTTTTGCTTCCAGAGAGAGAGAGAGCAGGCTTGATTTGACCCCTTTATTTGTCTTTCTGAGGCCTTTGTAGAGCTCCCCTCCAAAGCTGTATTACAAGTGATTCCCCCCACCCCGCCCCACACTGGTAGTGCTGAGAAAAAAGACCTCCCCAGAAGAATTTCAATGGTAAAGGGGTTCGTACGTGAGGATGTGGCCCTTCAGACAAGCTAGATTCAGATCAACTTAGCCCTTCGTATGTAAAAAAAAACACATGAGTTTTAGTTGTGCCCAGAAATGGACAGGTCACATTGGAAGTTGCCATTATCAAGGATTGATTCCTGGGTCCGCAGTTGGCCTCTGGACCAGCCGAATAGGAAGGGGACTTTGGGATTAAATGGGGGAAAACACAGAAGAGGGACTTCGTAGAATGGTGAGGTTGGCCATCCAGTTGGTCCAACCCCCTGCTTGATGCAGGAATCAATTTCCAAGCATAGGATGGTGACAGAGTCAAGATTGATGCCAAGAGGGAGGCTCACAGATCTATCCTATTTCAGTTGGATTTTTCTCATTCAGAAGATCATCGGTTGGGTGAAAGGCGATAATGGGATGCGATGAACATGATGACGCATCTCTTTGTCATCCGTACGGTTTTCTGCTGATGCTGCTGACAAGGATGTCATGTTATGTGGATCGGTCTGATGATGATTTCTGTTTCTCCGGCATTGTGTTGCCGGCTTTTGAAGTAGGTGGTTGCGTGTGGCCTCGGCCCTTGAAAGGAAAGGGCAGGAAAGATTTGGGCTCTTTCAGGTTGATCAAAAGACCAGGTACTCAAAAATGAAAGAAGAATGACCCCCTCTCCCAATTTTTATTTATTTAAAATATTTTTACCCGGCCATTCTCTTTAAAAAGGACTCGAGACAACTTATCTCATAAAAAGACAATATTTGAAGGTGAAAACAATGAGTGCACGAAAGTGGCCTTACCTAAGGAAAGACAATGTTTAAAGCTAAAAAACAGTAAGCGAACAAATGCTAAAAAGGATCTAATGAACGACACGCCGATTCAGAGTAAAGAAAAGCAGCACTAAAAATATATTCAAAGCAGTTAAGGCACAACTATCCATTAAATAACACACACACACAACTCAGGCAGCTGGTCATTGAGGGAAAGTTTGCCCAAAGAGAAAGGCATTTGCTTGCTTGCAGGACAGCCGAGATGGGTCCAGGCTGGCCTCCAGTGGCAAGGAGTTCCAGAGGATCCCTAAAGAAAGCTCATTGACTTCTCAAACACTTTTCCTAAAGACATCGCCACCTCTTGTTCTGCATGGCCCCAGTGGGCTTGATGCCCTCGCTTGCCTGTGTTGAGGTGGGTGCATAAAGTGGGGGTCGGTCACCCCCAGCGTTCTGCATCCCTGGGCCAGTGACCTCTCCGAGCTGGCTTTCCCCTCCGCCTGTTCTCTCTTGACAAACCCATAAGCTTCTTTGAGGGTGGACTTGCCGCCGCCTCTGGTTAATAAGGCAGATAATTAAGCTAATTAAGCTAAATGTGTTCCCGAAGTAAGACGAGGTCAGCCTTGATCTGAAAACAGCGGTACACAAAAACAAGTGGCCACATTAGATCCACCGTTTAGGGGTACTGTACGACCTTTTTTTTCTTTTCTTTTTTTTGCCGCTGGTTGGAAACGAGCCAATGGTTGTGGGCAAGTGGCAGGGTGGATTGGCTTTAAATTAAATTGGTTTAAATTGGGAGTAGGAAGATGCGCATGTGGGAGGGCAGAACAGCCTCGGAAATAGCACCGGTGCCAAAAACATATCCTGGAAGTGGGGGGCTCTGATTAACAGTGTACAAATTAAGAGGCCATCATCCTCATCATCTCAGATGTTGTCCGGTCAATTCTGCCTCATGGCAACACCCTTTCCAGGTAGAGGATCCTCAGAAGGGGTTGACCCTTCCCTTCTTCTGGGGACATCTTGAGACTCTGCAGCTTGCCCAAGGGCACACAGGCTGGCTCTTCTCACGAGAGGAACTGAGGGGGAAATCGAACTTCCAACCTCTCACTCTGAGAGGTAAACCCCTGAGCTATCTAGCCGGGGGGAAATCGAACTTCCAACCTCTCACTCCCCAGCCAGAGAGATAAACCCCTGAGCTATCCAGCCAGCTCATAATCTGAGAACAGCAGAACTGGAAGGGACCGTGTGGGATCATCCAGTCCAGCCCCTGTCAAGCAGACCCAATGGGGGGAACCGAACTCCCCACCTCAGGCTCTGCAGCCAGAGATTTAAACCCCTGAGCAATCCAGACAGAGTTGGATAGCCAGGAACCACAGAGGCTAAATTTTACAGGCACCCCTCCCTCCTGGTTCCCATGAGTTTTACCGGTGAAGTATTTCCACTCCAATCCCCACCTCCCTGGAGAATCAGATTTCACGAAGCCTCCGAGTGGGGTTGAACTTCACCCAAAAGCATGATGCAGGTTGCCTTCCACACCTAGCATTTAGACCCCAAACTCCTTCTTCCTTCTAGCTGGTAGTGATCTTTTAGTAGAAGCGCCTGGCACTGCATAGGTCGCATGAGGGGGTGGCACCCCCCAAAACTGAATGCCCACCCTTGCTTTCATCAGTGCCAGGATTTGTCTTTCTCTCATTTTTGAAGCATTCCTAAACAGACTCCCCCACCCCCAAAAGGCTTCCCAATGAGAAGAAACTGGGCCTTCTCAGTGGTAGCCCCTCTGCTGTGGAACACTCTCCCAACAGAAATCTGCCTGGCTCCCTCGCTGGTTGTTTTTAAGAGACATTTAAAAACTTGGCTCTTCAGGCAGGCCTTCCCTTCTGTCCATTCTTGAATTCTATCTTTCTGTTCTTTCATTCCCCATCTTGTTCATACTACAGTGGTGCCCCGCATAGAGACGATAATCCGTGCAGCAAAAATTGTCGCTATGCGGATTCGTCGCTATGCGAAAAGAAAAAGCCGATAGGAATGCATTAAAACCCGTTTAATGTGTTCCTATGGGCAAAAAACTCACCTTTAAGTGAAAATCCTCCATACGGCCGCCATTTTCGCTGCCTGGTAAGCGAGGAATCAGCGCGAAAACACAGCGGGTGGCCATTTTTTTAACCCGGTGGCCATTTGGAACAGCTGATCAGCTATTCTAAAAACATCGCTATGCGAAAATCAGTAAGCAAAAAAGCTTACCGATCATTACAAAGCGATGTTTTCCTATCTAAATTATCGCAATGCGATCGCAAAAACTTAATCGCTATGCAGATTCGTCGTTAAGCGAGGCACCACATATTATTGTTTAAATGCTTTTATGATTATGAATGTCGTTTATTTTGATTGTGATGTTTTATTGTCATTTTATGATATTTTATGATTTTATAAGCCGCCCCGAGTAGACGCTGTCTGGGGGGGCGGGGTATAAATAAATA